AGTTAAGTCCTACTTATAACTATGTGTCAGGTCAATAAACTATTTGATGACAGACCTTAAACGGACTTTATATATTTATATTATGGTGCCATAGTATAAGCTTGAGTCTCAGGACCATGGTTAGGGTGCATATATCGCCTAGGATGGATAACTAGACAGTGGTTTTGTTCCCTGGTAGGTCTAGATACACGTGACCACATTACGTGCGATTTGCATGGTATCTCTACTCAGGCTGAGACATACCTATTGGACTAGTGAGCGTCCTATGGAGTGTAATATATACATATATGGACTACTCTAGATATTGTTGAGTCCATCTAAGATGTATCTGCGTATCGGATTCTTGTTTGGATCATAGTAGATCAGGACAAGCATGTGGGCCTGACCCACTCTATTATTTTTCAGGTATTCGACAGTACCAGGCTTAGAGCTTGATCGTGTTGATGCAAATACAATCACTCACTCTTCCGATTACATAGGATTTCCTTTCTATTTTAATTTTGGATTTTATTTCTGTAAATTTGTACAAGGTTTTGGGATTAGGGGTCCACTAGGTGGATTCCCGAGTTGTACGGTTTTAAATTATACTTAATTTATTATTTCAAGTTTGAGGATTCTTATTTTAGATTTCTTTCAGTGTATTATTAATTTATTCTTAATTCAGTTTTTATTTTCTGCTTGTTTACATATTAATTGTTTGGTATCCCTCAGATCTGTGCTCGAACTTGATCACCCGTGACTCTAGAATCGAGGGGTATCACAGGTAGCAACCCCTTCCTTGGCCAGTGGGTCCAGTTATAGGACAAGTAGCTCAAGGATATTGTCCTTGTTGTAGGTACGTCAGGTAAGCGTTGGCCAGTTGTACCTATTTTGCAAAGGTGGCGCCACCTTAGCATCTATCGTGGCACGGTTATCAACATTTTGCCCCCTACTCAAGGCTCCTAAGAGGGGAGCTCAAGCAAGTCACTCGTTTCAAAAAAATTTATCCTTATTACTATAATTTCTGTCGAAGGGTCATATCATTTTAATGCCGAGGAGAAATGGCGGTTCAAGAGGTCATGTCGCTTCAGTTTCCCAGCCTACGTGTCAAAATTTTATTGGCACGCCAAACTGTGATGCTTCGAATACCGAGCCTCCGTCTCTTCACCAGCCAAGGGCGGGACACTTGGAGTGCTGGGCCCCTACTATTTAAACTAAAACTTGTTCTTTATGCATAGTGCAAACTAACCCCTTTTTTCAAACTTCTCAAGATTTTCTTTCTCACTCGAAAAGAAGGGTTTCGGTCATGGCCTTGCGTGACAATGTTCCCAATGTTCCTCCTTTGGCAGAATGGCGAGTCGCTCCTTACTTTTGTTCAAATGATACTTTTTAGTCAAACAGTGATGAATTGAGCGAGGTGGACGAGACCCTAGGAGGCTCATTCCTTTTTGAGGGCGAACCTTACACACAGGCAGGAACGCCCACCCCTCCTAACTCGGTGCTAAGGTTTAGAGTTGAGCGCGGTGACTTTCCTCATTCCAACCTCAGCTTTACCAGCCAGACCAGTCACGACCGAGGGTGGGAATAGTAGACAGATGTCGTACTATCCGATGCTGAATTTTTTGAGACTTTAAAGGTCTTAAAGATCACTGATGCAATCCGCAATACCCGCGAGTTGACCATTCCGCGAGACATCCATGATCTCGCTCTCCTCGTGTCTCGGTGGAGCCGCGACACCCATACCTTTGTCACTTTGTGGGGGGAGTTCACCCCTACCATAGAGGACGTTGTGCAGCTCATGTGCCTAAACGTGTTTGGTGAGCACAACCCAGGCTCCTAGACACTTTCTGAAGATGAGGTCAAACTTGCTGCCAAGCTATGCAGCGGTGTCACCGCGGGCAGCAAGATTGCTTCACGCTATCAAGATGATGGTCTTCGCGAGGAGTTTCCGGAGACTGGAAAAAAATGCACTTTTGTGTCGCTCTTCCGTTACTATTTTTGGGACTTTCCTCCTCCAGACCAAGAAGGAGAGACCTCCTTCAATGGTCCTAAATGCAATGACTCGGCCCTCCTCGCCGCTTTTCTCCTATCTTGGCTATCGAGGTTCATTTTCCCAGGTCCCCCAGATGACGGTCCCTGTCCTGATCTCATCCCCTTAGGTGTTAGATTATCTCGTGGTAACAGCTTCCCCTTGGCCTTCTTGTTCCTCGGCAACTCTATCACGAGCTCGACTTGGCACATGCCCGCATGAAGCACTCCGTAGGTCGCATGAGTGTAGTTTCTCCTATTAACACCATCTTCCTCCAGATGTTTCTTTATGAGCACTTTCCTCGGTACGGTCCTCGCCCAAAAGCACTTCCTCGAGACAAGGGTCTGAAACGATCCTTTCAATGGCATAAATAATCTACAAAAAAAGAAGCTGGCGGAGTACATTGACCGCGAGAGTTGTTTCCTGGCTCGCCTTTACACTCATGGTCCTCGGATGGAATGCTGCGCCCCGAGAGATGGCATGGTTATCTCGGGCAAGTCATTGAGGCGTACTCCAGCTTTGACAATCATTGCCATATCTTCTGCGGGTTACCTTCCCGCCCTTCTTCCTCCTAACTCAGGCGTAGGCAAGGTTTATAATCCTCATAGGGTAGCTCGATAGTTTGGGTTTAATCAAAGGCTTCCTCGGGACTATGGGTACGGAGCTCGCCAAGATCATAGTACCTATGCCTTGGGCTTCTTACGTTTTCTAGATTCCGAGGAGGCAGAACTCTTGGGGGATCGCCAAATCCTTCACGTTCTTTCTTCCTCATGGGTAGGGCGATGGGGGACTCAGACGAAAGCGTATTGGAAGGAGGTGATTACCTCCTTCAGGCAGTTTGTGAGTAGTACTCCAGTTCCTGTTCCTACTCGCTCTTTGCTAAAGGGCGATACCTCCTTTCGTCCTTTTAAAAACACCTCTATATCTGCCCGCGGGAAGCCTTGTAATACCACCGGCTTACTACCTTTGGTCCCGCCAAGTACCGCGGCACCTACAATAGCCCTCCGAGCTACCAAGACGCGACGAGACAAACACAAGGTTGATCAGGACGTCAGCTCTTTTGTGCCCGCAGTCACCTCTACCAAGAGAACCAAGGTAGGCGCGAGCATTCTTTACTTGCAACTTCCCTATTACCTCTTACATTAACCATCTCTTGTTTGTTTTTAGGGCACCACCAAAAAATCTCCCCTTGTTCCACCTTCTATTCCTACTTCGGGGGCTTCTGCCCCCTCAGCTCAAGCTGGGGTTGCCTTGAGCATGAGGTCTTACTGCGTGCCCCTTGAGAAGGCTCATGCTGCAACTGCACCTGATAATACCATAGTCCAAGCTCTCGAGGTGCCTGCTGGCTTAGCTATTCCTTTCGATCCACTCCATACGCTTGCGAGTGTCCTTAAAGACCCTGAGCAAGCAGCATGGGCGGTACTAGCATCTGACCTCAACCCTCCCGCGTCCTCTCGTCGCAGGATAGGAAAGGAATTAATCCCTTTGGCTCGAGGCTTAGGCCAGTTTAACAAGGACACGGGAGAGGTTAATACCGATGCAGACCCTGCCAAGGGGATCTTCAATTTTGAAAGGAGTCAGACCCATTCTCCTTCTAATGCAGGTACCGTCATTTTCCCAAACTAAAACTCACATTTCATTCCTACTTTTCTTAACTTATTTCTACATATGCTACAGATGTTGAGGCGGCCATGTTCGATGCGACCGAGACCACCGCAGGTTCTAAAGGTCATTACTCCAGCCGCAATGATGAGAACAGCGATACTAGTTCACAGGTCGAGGTCGTCCATGTGCTGCCTCGAGAACCCATTGCCGAGTTACAGAAGATGGTCGAATCAGCTCTCCAGCCCCTTCCTTCCCCTGAAGAGGATAGTCTGGACAAGACTGAAAGCTCGAACTCCGGCGGTTCTTCCAAAGACGAAGCCTTGAGCCCTCGTGGCTTAAGCCAACTGGAGGAACAGAATGTTGGTCAAGTTGGGGTTATCATTGCATCCAAACCAGAGCTTAACATGATCCCAGATAAAGGAGGGAATTGCTCTGGTGAAGAAAGGGAAGAAGCCGAACAAAACCTTGCTGGACCAGATCACAGGGTACATGCTACCTCGCACATACCGTGGGGTTGGGCCAATGTTTCTATAAGTGAGGCGGAGATCTTGGACGAGGTGATGGTTAAACATCCTTAAACCTTTGGCAGTCTCGAGGGGATGCTGCCTCTATTTCTGGAACTCATATACAAGACTACGTGCGAACTGGTGGTGAGCCTTCGCGAGGCCAGGGGTCGCTCTTTGAGCAAGGAAAAACTCAATTCCCTAGATCACCTATTTACCAATTTGAAGCGAGCGCAGATTGACGTAGCTTAGGCTGAGGATATTTTTGCACGAATTAAGGCGCTTGTGGAGTATGAAAGAATGGTGGAGGAGATCAAAGATCTTCGTGATCAGGCCGAGGAGGAGAAAGAGGTTCTTCAATCCAAAAGGGTGCGGGAGCAACATATTATTTCTCTAAATGCCGAGATCGAACGCAGGCTATCTCCACTTTGCCCTGTTACTCTAATGTTAGACAATTTGCCTTAAGGTTGTAAATTATTTTGTAACAAGAACCGTTGGTAGCCTATTCGAGGGCGACTTTCATGTTATTACTTTTTATTAATGAGTCAATCTTTTCTTGCCTCAGTTTCATCTTCCCCCCTCCTTTTTTTTTGTTGCAATGCCATGGAAGTTATTATAAATAAATTCTCTGCAAGTTTTTTTTTTTGTTTTTTTGAGGTAAACCGTAAATAGACCTTCCCCGGGGCGAGGTAGGCAAAGGATATTTAAACGACCTCTATCAGAGACCAGGTCAACCAGAAGTTTGATTTGTGAAAGGAAAAAAAACATCATGCTCAGTCATTAAACATTAGTAGATGAATAGTAAGCATAATTTTTCTTACAAAAATAGGTTTGGTGCTACAAAAGCCTCTTACAGTCCTAGGACCTCGAACGAGGCTTACAGATCAAGAGTAGTACTTCTTCAACCATTTGGCATTAAACGTGCCCAGTACCTTGTTACTCCTCATTCTCCCAATGTCATAATATCCACTGGGGTTAGCAGCCTTGACTTCAAAAGGGCTTTCCCACTTGGGGGTAAACTTAGGCGCAGACAGGTTTCGCATCACATGCGTCGCAGTCTTTAAGACCAGATCACCTTCTTGAAACGCTCGAGGATGCACAGTGGCGTTATAGGCCCGAGCCACCCTTCTTTGGTAAACTATCATCTTACTCCTTACCTGCTCTCTCTGCTGCAGAAGTGCCTTGAGCTCTCCAATCCGGGGGTCGAATTGCAGTCGGCTTCGCTCAGCCAAACTTCCAAATGGAATCACTATTTCAATTGGGAACACTGCCTCCGTGCCGTATACCAATGAAAAGGGGGTGGCACATGTGGCTCCCCTTGTAGTAGTTCGGTATGCCCATAGTGCGAGTGGTAACTGCTCAGCCAATTTGTTTTGTTGCTCCTTCAATGTTCTACTTAGGATTCGGATCAGTGTCTTGTTAGTGGCCTCTGCTTGTTCATTACCTTTAGGATAGTACGGAGTTGACTTGCGGTGGGCCACTCGATACCTTTGAAGGAGTGCCCATACCCTGTTGTTAACGAAGGAGGTTCCATGATCTGACACAATGACCCGAGGTACGCCGAAATGACATATGATGTTTTCCTTAATGAAGTTTGCCACCACCTGCCCAGTTGCTGTTGACAGAGCTACCGCCTCGAACCATTTGGTACATACTTCTGTTGCTACAAGTATCTATTTCATCTTCCTAGACTTGGGCGAAATGGGTCCAATCAAATCCATTGCCCATGTGTGGAAGAGCCAAAGAGCCTCCGTGTGCTGTAATTCCACTGCTAGCGCGTGGATGGCATAACTATGGACTTGGCATTCTTGGCATTTTTGGGTGTAGTTTCTACTGTCAGTTTGTATTGTGGGCCAATAATAACCCAATTGTATAAAACGATTGTATAGCCTCTTCCACCCTTGGTGTTCGTCCTCATGCGCTTGTTTCAGAACCTTGCGAGCTTCAGCTGAATTGACACACCACTTAGCTCTGCCGTCAAAGCCTCGCCTTATCAATTCACCATTACAAATAAAAAAATGATTGGCCTCCCTCTTTAGCAGCGCGGCCTTTTAAAGGTCTTGTGGGAGCGTTCGCTTTTCAAGATACTCCACATATTTCTGTCTCTGGTCTTTTTCAATATTGGCCATACAACGGGACTCCTCAAACACCTCTTGGCAATCGGGACACGCCTTTTGTATAGCCGCCGCATCTTTTGCCATACACGGCCAGTAGTACCCCTGCCTTTATATTCTCCGGTACAGACTCAAGGAATTATCGCTGCAAGTGTGCCTGTGAATTTTGTCCAACACTTTTCCCGCGTCCTGTTCTCCGATGCATCTTGCCAAGGTTCCGCCAGGTGCCCTAAAGTATAACACTCCCAAATACAACGTAAAATTTTTTAGTTCCAACAAAGGAATCTCGCCCCTGCCGCGCTTCAACTGTGACTCATAGTGGGCTCGCCAATCTTCTTTATCCTCATTGTCTGTGCATTTTGTATCGTGTAGATATGACTCATTTTTCCTGTGAATGCGAATATCTACCTATTCTCCCATCATCTCGACTTTAGATGCCAAAGTGGCCAAGGCGTCCGGGTGCCGATTAGCCGTTCGCGGTGCATGGGTTATCCAGAGTTTGCAGAAGTGACTACTGAGTCTTTGGATAACCGTTCTGTATGCTGCTAATGCTGGTTCCTTGATCGCGTAGAAGTCGTATAGCTGTTTTATCACCAATTTCGAATCCCTTGCACATGTAACCGTTTAATTTTAGCTTCCCGTGCTGCCAGCAGCCCTAAAACTAGGGCCTCATACTCTGCCATATTATTTGAACATCCAAAGGTGAGTTTGTACGAAAGATTTTGAGCTTTCCCTTCTTCAGGGGTCAGTATTATTCCTGCGCCACCACCCATAGAGGTCGACGATCAGTCAAATGATAGGGTCCACCCCATATCTTCATCCGCGCAACAAGCCGACTTGAACTCGTCGTGAGGAAGGTCATCATGTATTGGCTCAAAATTTCTGGAGGGGAATTGAGCCACCAGATCAGCCATGGCTTGGCTTAGAATGGTACGAGGCGCCAGGCACTGGATATCAAATTCGGCCAAAATTAAGAGCCACCGTGCCACTCGCCCTAAAATGATTGGCCGAGAAAGCAGGTACTTCAATGGGTCACACTTGGTAATGAGGTAAATGGTGTGAACCAAAAAATAATGGCAAAATTTCTTGGCTGCAAACGCTAGGGATAGACAATGGCGTTTTATCGGAGAGTACCGCACCTCGGGACCTTGTATAACTCGGCTGATGTAATAGATAGGGCATTCTCGGCCATCCCTTTCCTGGGCGAGGAGCGCCCCAATGGAGCATTCCGTCGAGGTAATATAAAGTCTCAGAGGAATCCCCGTTCGAGGGGCTGTCATGGTGGTTGGCGAAGACAACAACTTCTTGAGACGTTCGAAGGCCTGTTGGTGTTCCTCTTTCCATCTAAACTCGACCCCTCCTTTCATCAGAGCGTCGAAAACATGCGTGACCTCGGCCAATAGTGGTATGAAGCGTCATAGATACGAGACGCGTCCCACCAGACTCTTTAACTGTTTGAGAGATTATGGCGGAGGCATTTCTATGATTGCTTGGGCTTTGCCTCGCTCAACGTCGATACCCTGTCGATGTACCACGAAGCCCGGGAAGGGTCCAACCTCGACCCCGAAGGCGCATTTCAACAGGTTCATCCTCAACTTGTACTTTCGACACCTTTCAAAAACACTCCTCAAATTAGCCAAGTGATCGCCTCGAACTCGCAATTTTACCACCAAATCATCCACATAATCCTCAATTTGCATGTGTAACATGTCATGGAAAATAGCTGTCATGGCACGCTGGTAAGTGGCACTGGCATTCTTCCGGCCAAATAGCATGACCGTAAAATATAAATTCCCCACTGAGGTACGGAATGCCGTCTTTTCTGCATCGCATTGCGCCATCTTGATCTGATTATATCCGCTGTACCCATCCATGAACGAGAACATTTCATGTCCTGATGTTGAGTCAACCAGGTTATCAATTATGGGCAACGGGAAATTATTTTTGGGGCATGCCTTGTTCAGATCTCTAAAATCAATGCAAACTCTGATTTTTTCATTCTTCTTCTTCACTGGAACCACGTTCGCCAACCAAGTAGGATGCTGAATTGGTTTAATAAAACCAGCATGCAAAAGTCGTTGCACCTTCTCCTTTATTTGCAACTCTAACTCTGGCCGAAAGTTCCTTTATGTCTGCTTAACAGGGACTGTTTCTAGTCGCACATTAAGATGATGAGCCACTACCTAGGGGTCTAGCCCAGGCATCTCCTCATACGTCCAAGCAAAAATATCTTCAAACTCTCTAAGCATGGTTATTAGTGCCGCCTTTTCATTCCGACCCAATTGCCTACACACATAGACCACGCGAGGGTGACCTCTGTTGGCCAAATTGATTTCCTCCAGTTCTTCTTGACTGGGCCGAGTAGATTCGGTGGGTTCCACTCTGACCCCCTCCTCAGGGCTCAGAAACTCCACCTGACATGACTCCACTCGGGGGCGCGATCTTGCCCGAGGTCATGCCCCCCCGTACCGTCATAAACGGTAGGCAATCCTTCCATCGGCCAAGTGCACCCTCTTGCAGACAGCTGGTTTCTTCTGATTAGCTATAATTTTCTCCTTCTCTTGCTGGTTTATCTCTTCCTACCTTGGTAAAGGCACAGCTGACAGCGGCTGCGGCTCTTTCGCATCCTCTAACTCGTTGAAGAATCCAGCCTCTACCATGTGAGACTCTCTTTTAGTGAACGGACGATCCGAGCAACGGACCGTCACCTGTTTCCCATTCCAATATCCTTTCATATACTGATGGTACGAAGAGGGGACAATCCTAAACCTATGCATCAAACCTCGTCTCATAAGTAAATGGTAAGATGTGTCTGAATCAATCGCATGAAATTTAACCGACCCCCTGAACTTTCCTATGATTAGTTCGGTTGTTACATATCCCTCAGTTTTTCGGATATCACTTTCGAACCCTGCAATTTCAGTAGGCTTTCAGACAAGTTTCTCTTGCGGAAGCCCGATGCGGCAAAAGATATCCAATGGCATAATGTTAAGCGATGAGCCATTATCCAGAAACACCCACTTGAGCTCAACCCCATTGAGCGAAGCCATAACATATAAAGGCCTGTTGTGCGGGGTAGGGACACATTTGTCCTCCTCAGTAAAAACTATGGGCAATCCAAATGACCTCTGCGGTGCAGGGGGGGAGCGTGACTTGAGCGACTTCCTTAACACCTTCCTTTATTGCCAGCCACAGGAACTTGACTATTTCTTTTTGAGTGAGAGGAGAAAAATCCATCTTCTGTAGTATACTCCTAATAGGAGCCACTTCCAACAAGCAAAAAGTCTCGAGGCCATCTCCCTGTACTAGCACGACCTCGGCCGCACTACCCTCGGTCCCTTCCCTTTAGGTCTCCATATCGGACACCATCATCGCCACTCCTCGATCATACATGGGGAAAGGCTCTTCCCTCATATCTCTGGGAGGGAGAATGATGTGATACCCCTCGGATCCGAGACACGGGTTGATCAGGCCCAGGCCCAAACCCGAGGGAATATCAAACAATTAAAGTATTTATAATGAACACGGAATACAAAATGAATTAAGAAATGAAATTAAAGCTGAAAAGAACTAAAAACAGAATCCGCAAAATAATATAATTATTAAAATCCATCAAACCCAAACTCCAAAACTCCATCAGTTTACAACTCGGGAATCCATCCATTGGACCCCTTATTTAAATTCTCCAAACGATACTGAAATAATAAAAACAAAATCCAAAGCTTACATAGAGAAAATTCCTACATAATCGGAGGAGTAAATAGCTGTATCTGCTCTACACGTCCAAACTCTAACCCTGGAACTGACGAGCACCTGAAAAATAAAGAAGTGGGTCAGGCCCACATGCAAGTCCTGATCTACTACAATCCAAACAGTAATCCGATACGCAGATACATCCTAGGAAGACTCAACAATATCTAGAGTAATCAATATATGTATATAGTATACACTATAGGACGCTCGCTAGTCCAGTAGGTTTGTCTCAGCCTAAATAGAAGGTAACGTGCGAATACGCACCCTAGGGTGGGCATGAGTACCTAGACCTACCAGGAAACAACACCTATGTCCAGTTATCCATCCTAGGCGATATACGCGCCCTAACCATGGTCCTGAGACTCAAGCTCATACCATGGCACATATAATAAATATATAAAGTCCATACTCCTCCTAATACATAATACCATCCATCTGTGTGGTGGTCTGGTATATGTATATCCATCCGTCCTGAAACCATATTAAGTCATTCAACTATTTTGTTGACATGACACAAGTAGGTGATGGACTTAACTTATTGGGTTAATCCATACCTTAATCCAAAGTAGGTAGGATTTAGTGTTTGACTAATCCATACCTAGTATGTCACCGTCCTATACCAGTACATACAATCCTCCAATTAACGAAGTTGACAAAAACAAAAATAAGTATTTATCAACCATTCTCCAGAATTAGCATAAATATAGTTTAACATGTATATAACCAACTTATGCATTCAATATAAGATTTAGAATCTCAATTACAGTCCGTTAAATTGATAGAGCAGAATTACACAATCTACCTCTCCAAACAGTACCATAACTGATGCAATGTAAAATAGATTGTAACACCAGTTGATCCCAACTAAGCATACATATAACTATACAACAGTATACTTATAACACAGCTGCAAAACATGATTTATAAATCCAAGTCATGCAGAGAAATAAAATTCCAAAAATAGTAGATAATAGAAATTAATTTTCAAATCATCCACCCACGGGTTCACTGTTTAATCTTAGCTTAATTCCGTTCTTAGTTCCTATTTGTAATCATACTTCCCAACATTTTTACAAGTCTTAAACATTAAATTACAACATCCAGTAGCCTTTAAATAATTTTAGAAAATCCAATTCTGTACGTTTTAAGATGGAGTAGGCTCTTTAAAAACTTTGAGCCTACTCAAAACCATTTGGAGCCTGCTCTAAAACTTTTAGAGCCTGCTCTAAATCACTTAGAGCTGGATCCAACTCTTTGGGAGCCGGCTCTAAGGGTTTTAGGAGCCTGCTCTCCCTCCCTTAGCAGCCGTTGTCCGTTCCAGCTTCGTTTTCTCT